CTGATGTAATTGCCTCTATAAGTACGTAAGTAATAGTCAGAGCATGTGCTCCAATTTTTAGCTCATGTAGCATGATCATTACATCTATATTCTATTTCAGCACAGCTCAGAGGGCTCTATTGTGCAGTTGAAATGCTACTGAAAAGAGCTGGGGTGAGGGTAAGCAACGCACTGGTTAGCTTTTCTAGCTGGGGACCAGACCCAGGGCTCTCCTCCCTGGTTCCTCCTCATGCAGGTCATGGTCTTTCTGTTGTTACTCCTCCTTCTCAGACATCTTTTCCTACACTTCGCTAGCATGGTGGGAAAGCATGAAATTACTCAGGGTGAAGGAGTTTGAAGGTAACAGTCAAGTGATGTGTGAAGAAAAGGGTAGAAGGGGGATCACAAGGATTTTGCGTTTGGCAAACTTTTATTTAATGTTGGGATTGAGGCCCTAGCCAGATAGCTCAGTTGGCTAGAGCATCATCCTGATACATCAAGATTGCAGGTTCAATCGCTGGTCAGGGCACATATAAGAATCAACCAATGAATGCATAAATAAGTGGAACAACAAAAATTTATGTCTCTCTCTCTCTCTCTCTCTCTCTCTCTCTCACACACACACACACACACACACACACACACACAGAGAGAGAGCAATAAATAAAAATTTAAAAAAAGTTGGGATTGAAAAACAGAGTATGTAGTGAAAACCTTCTTCCTACCTTGAGACTTCTGGAATTGCTTGTTAGAGTAATTTAGAAGTCTAGGTGGATTTCTTTCAAGGATGGGGGAAATTGGAGAAGATTGGCATTTTAACAGCAAAAGCATTTGTTTATTTGTTTGCACCATTAATTCCAATCGCTAGCATGGTGGGACAGCATGAAATTACTCAGGGTGAAGGAGTTTGAAGGTAATATTGCTCAATGGCCAAACTAAGATTTGTGAAGAATCAAATTACTGCTCAGTTCTCTGCCCTGCATCAAAGTTAACTGCTGATATTCATTCTTTTTACTTAGAGCACTGGTTTCTTGACTGGAGACTGAGAAAATATGTTGTATCATTGCTGTAGACATTGGGGTCGGCCTTATGTGATTAGGAAGATTCTTTAGTGAGGGCACCTGTGTCCCAGATCCTAGGAAACACAGAACAGCTGCACCTCAGGAAGACGAGGTGCCTTGACAGAACTGGCCATTATGAAAAGTACAGTTGGAAGGCCTTTCTCAGTTCTAGGCAATTCCGGAAGCTTCTGGAGCTGTGGGTCTTCACTCCAGTGCTCCTTGACTTGTAGGACTATGCTAATTCATGAATGTCTGATTTATTCTAGTCTTCTTTTCCACTGGCTTATTTTTCAGCACCTCTAACTTCTCACATTTTCTTTTCTTCCCTTTTCCTAAAAAAAAAAGCACCCTATTTTGGACTTTATTAAATGATAAATTAATTTCTATCATGGTTGGATAGCTATGCATTCCTCAACAGCTTTATTGATATGTAATTTGCATGTCAAAAAGTTCATTCATTTTAAGTGTGCAATTCAATGGGTGTTAGTATATTTACAGAGTTAGGCAATTATCACCATAATCTAATTGTAGACTGTTTTTTATCCCCCACTAAAAAAAAAAGAAACCTTGTGCCAATTAGAGTAACACCTCATCTCACCTTCTTCCTGCCCTTGGCAAGCCTAAACTACTTTCATTTTCTATAGATTGGCCCATTCTGAACATTTCATCTAAATGAAATCATACAATATGTGGATTTTTGTGTCGGGCTTATTTTTTGTTTTGCATAATATCCTTGAGGTTCATCCATATTCTAGCATATGTCAGTACTTTGTTCTTTTTTATTGCTGAGTAATATTCCATTGTCTGGATATACTACATTTGTGTATACAGTCATCAGCTAATGGATATTTGAATTGCTTTTATGCTATCATAATGGAATTTCTTAGTTTAATTTTGGCATTTTAATTGCTAGTATATAGAAATGCAGTTAATTCTTGTATGTTGATCTTGTATCTTGCACCTTGCTAAACTTGTTTTTATTAGCTTTAATAGTTTTTTAGTGGATTTCTTGGGATTTTTCTATTTTTAATGACACATCATCTGTAAATAGAGATAATTTTACTTCTTTTCTAATGGAAGTCTTTTATTCTTCTTACAGTTTATGCTCCAACCTATCTTTAGTTTCCTACAATGCCTCATGTTTCTGAGTCAGTATCATACCTTCTCTGTTTCCTATCTTTTTGTATGTTCTAAATTTTCAAGTTTAAGTAGAGTTACAGAAAAGGGAAAAAAAAACCTAGAGACTCAGATTGGCTCAAGTGTTAGCTATGATTTTTGTTTGGGCAAAGTTTGCATTCTAGCTCATAGCTCTCTGGTAAATAAATGCTGCCTTTGGGTTAGACACAGTGGTTCTCAACCTTCTGGCCCTTTAAATACAGTTCCTCATGTTGTGACCCAACCATAAAATTATTTTCGTTGCTACTTCGTAACTGTAATGTTGCTACTGTTATGAGTCATAATGTAAATATCTGCTATGCAGGATGGTCTTAGGTGACCCCTGTGAAAGGGTCATTCAACCCCCAAAGGAGTGATGACCCACAGGTTGAGAGCCGCTGGTTAGAGGATCGTTAATAAGCTGTGGTCAGAGAGAGTATAGGTTCTGGGTATTGCAACATGTTTTCTTTAGGAGGGGCTGTAGGCCTTACTTTGAAATTGATAAAACAATATTGTTATATTAGGCATTTTTTATAAGAAGATAGATCTTTTTTTAAAAACTCAGAACTTTTCTTTGTGGTTTGTTAGTTGTAATAGATTATGAATTCTAAAGTAATTTTTAAAAATATGTATTTATTGAATTTTTGTGAGAGAGAGGAAAAGAGAGGTGGAGAAAGAGAGAGAGAGAGAGAGAGAGAGAGAGAGAGAGAGAGAGACATCAATCAGCTTCCCTCTCTCCATCCCCCACCAGGGATCAAACCTGCAACCTAGGTATGTACCCTGACCAAGAAAGGCACAGGCCACACCTTCGGTGTGTGGGCCAGTGGTCTAACCACTGAGCACACCAGCCAGGGCAGAACATGCCCTGACCAGGAATCCAAATGGCGACCTGTGAGTGCACAGGAAGATGCTCAACCAACTGAGCCACACCAAGGCCTAAAGCATTTTTATTTATTTTATTTTAATTGATGTATAATTGAGAGATACACATTAGTTTCAGGTATACAACATCATGAGTCCATACTTGTATATATTGTGAAATGAGCATCACAATAGATCTAGCTAACATCTGTCCTCATACATAGTTTCAATTTTTTTCTTGTGATGAGGACTTTCAAGATCCACTATAGTTAAAAATACTGTATTGCATCTCTAAAGTACTTTTAGATTACTTGATAAGACCATTTACATGTTTCTGTGTCATAAAAAGTGAAGGCACCACACCATAATTCATGATTAGCCTTCATCATATGTATTTGGTTGAATGAACACATTTAACATTATAAGGAAATAAATATATTTAAAATATATAGTGGTTCCTTTGTCTCTGTATTTCCCAAGGAACTCTTTCCTTTGTAATTGATTATTTTGGTAAGAATTTCTTGAGCACCTGTTTTATGTAGAACCTCCAAGAAGTGCTGTACTATTGGGGTAATAAGTGTAAAGGGTGTTGTTTGTGGAGGGGAGGTCTCAAAGAAATAAAAGACACCATTTCTGGGATTTTTACTCCCCTGTAGAACAAAGGGTAAAACATATTGTACATCTTGAGAACTCGTACAAAATAGCATGTAGTCTCAGAACTGCAAAGGAGCACGATACAATTTGCATACATGTATGTTGAAAGTAACAAAATGATGATATGCAATAATAAATCCAATACCCTGCTACTGATTAGGAATACCGAGATGAAAAAAACAGCCTCTGTCCTACAGACTCCAGGGGTAATAAATCAGCGCATAATTGGAGATGGAAAATGTTACTGCTTTTTTGGTGGTATCTTTGGAAGAAGAGGATGCCATGCTGTGTTGTGGCTGACTGCTTTTTAATGTTGAAAGGTACTGAAGATAGTAGTGTGGGACACTTACTAAACCGGATATGCTCAGGGGAGACCTGCATGGTGGACTTCACAAACTCAGGGACTTCAAGTAACCACATAAGATGATCTGAAAGTAAATCTTCTTAACTAAAATCGAGTCATGGTGGATAGTCATGTCATAGTCCAGTATCTTCCTTGACAAAGATAAATCTTTACTTTAATTGAGCCTATTGTCTTTTTGTATCTAAGATAACATACCTTTGGAATGTTAGTGTAATCCCTCTCTTTTCCTCTAAAGGCACCATCTCCCACCAGAGCAGGAGATCACAGAACCCCTCAATGTTACCCTGTTCCCTGATACCATCTCTATGTGCTGTAAATGTTAACTATCCTGTATGCACTAACGAAAAGAAGTATTTATTTCTTCATTTGACTCATTATCCAGTCCCAGACATTTCCTCTCTTTGCTTTCTCACACCTCCCTAATCTACCACTAATGAATTTCATGTACCCTCCTTACACCTCCTCCTTTGATTATAATGTGTAAAATAAACTGCAAAATTGTCATTCTCCTGAGCATTTCCTCACTCTGTTCTCACTCTGTTGAGATTTTGCTCCCCAGCGACTGTCGTCAGTTTGGCTCAAATAAAGTCATAAAAATTCCTACAGGTTTGGATGTTTCTTATGTTGACAGTAGTTACTAGTAGAATGAACTTCCTGGGAAGTTGCCCCGTTAGAAGCCTTTGGGGCAGTGAGGACCACAACTCCCAGAATGCCACACTCCCCTTGCACTCTCCAGATTCCGGGCAAGTTGTCCCGGCACCTCTGGCGCCAGATCGAGACTACAATTCCCACTATACCCAGGGGCTCCGGAAACCCTGTCAAACACCACCTGTTGCCATAGCATCCGGGTCCGGAACAACCAATCCGGGTGTCCCTTCAGAGTAGAGGCGGGCCGTTTGTATCTCCCACCAACCGGAGGCATTTCGTTGTGGAGCGTGACCGGAGGAGGTGGGAGCTGAGGACCCGCGCCTTCTCCTTGCTTCTTGGGGTCGTGGCCTTGCTCTCGCCGTGCGAGGCAAGCGTCCGGGTACGTCCACGCGCGTGTGTGCGCGTGGGGCCTGAAGTGCTCGGGGGTCCGCGCTAGGGCTCTGCAGGGACAGAAGCAGCCATGGGCGGAGCCTCCAGCACACGCCGGGTCACCTTCGAGGCGGACGAGAATGAGAACATCACCGTGGTGAAGGGCATCCGGGTGAGTGACAGTGGGCGGGCGGAGGGCCAGTACTCGGACTCGGACCCCAAACCATCGACCTTCCCGGGACCCGCTCAGCCTAGTTCCCCTCGTCCTGGCCCCCAGTGTTGTCCGGTCCGAAGCCGAGTGTTCTGCAAAGAAGCTTGAAGTTTCAAGACCTGGGACGTTCATTCAGAGCTGTGATCCGGTTGTGTGCCAAGTGCTGAGCACTGCTGGGTGGGGAGTGCCAGGGTGATTTAGATCCTCCAGAGGCTTGCAGTATAGTTATAGTGTTGACTGCATTGCTCACTCGTTGTGGGGCTTAATTTGAAACCCCTGCCTCACTGTACCAATCTGTGAAATGGGGCTTGCATTAT